CCATTGATCGAGTCGTCCTAATACCTGGGTGGCTGATGTTATGTATAGATTCGAAAACAGCTTTCCTAAATGATGGTGGTACATAAGGTCTGATATTATCGCCCGCAAAGTCACAGTATATACTTTTTTTTAACGTTGGGAATAACAACTCGCTTTTGTACCTTGTTCGACGCGTCGGCGTCTTGCAGCATTTGTGAAATTTGAATGTCGGCTTCCTCCGCTGTCGCTAATTCCTCGTGATCTATGACCGTTGGACAAACGATAGTTTCAATACGCGATAACGCGTCTGCGACTGGATTATTGTTACCATTGACATGTTGTATACTGCTGGTATTTGTACTCGCTAATATACAACAATTGTCTAATTCGTCGAGGAGTCTCTTTACTGGAATTTACCTTTGTGAGTGTGTATGTCAGAGGTTTGTGGTCCGTGTACATGGTCAATTCCCGTCCTTCTACCATATTTTGAAATGCATGATGGACATGTACACAGCCAACAGTTCTCTGTCATACGTACTGTATTTTTGTTGAGCATCTGATAGTTTTTTTTTTGAGAAATACCCGAGCGGCTGCCAAATATCGTTGACCTTCTGCTGCAGTACTGCGCCTACACTGGTGTTCGAGGCATCGGTCGTTAATGATAATTGCGCGTCCGGTACAGAGTGTGATAATGTTACGGCGTTTTGCAGGTATAGCTTACATTTTTCGAATGCGTGGTCGGCTTCACTGTCCCAGTCAATTTTCGTCTTGTCCTTCTTTTTTGAGTTATGTAAAAATTTGTTTAAATTCATATGATATTCAGCTGCTTTGGGCAAATGTAACCTGTAGAAATTTACCATACCTAAAAGACGTAGCTCGTCGACTCTCTGTGGCTTTGGATAGTCCACAATAGCCTTGACCTTGTCGGGCAAAGGGCTTATTGATGACTGAGTAACCCTGTATCCTAAAAATCGACTTCGCTCACTCCAAAAAAACTCTTACTTAGATTTATGGTCAACCCGATACTGTGGAATCGCTCGAATACTTTTCCGACATGTTCTCGGTGGATGACTTCATTTCGCGACGCTATGATGACGTCATCAATGTAACAAAAGGGTGATGACTCGTATTCATTACCTATTTCACCAATATTTTCAATTCCATGCAGAACCGTGTTGTCCATAAACCTCTGGAAGGTTTGGGAGGCGTTTCTCAAACCAAAGCCCATTCGTGGGAACTCATGCAAACCAAAAGGGGTAATGGTGGCTGTTTTCTCGACGTCCTCTACTGCAACTTCAATAAAATGATAAGCTCTATTAATATCAAGGCGTGTGAATATTGTCTTACCTGTCAACCCAAAAGTAAAGTCCTGGAGCCTCGGTACAGGGTACCGATCCGGTTTCGTCACTGCATTAAGTCTACGATAATCTCCGCATGGTCTTATCTGGCCGTTTTTCTTTTGCACGACGTGTAGAGGGCTGGCCCACTAGCTCCTGGATGGTCTGCAAATACCTAATTCCTGCATATGACGAAATTCATCCCTAACCTTTTGGTACTTTCATGGCGGTAAAGGTCGCGGCTTGGCATAGATCGGCGGTCCTGTGGTATCTATGTGATGCCTAACTTGGTGATTCGGCGGACTTTTTTTATATGAGACTGGCTTTATAATATCAGAAAATTCCTCCAATAAGTCACGAAACGGATGCGATTCCTGAATGCTATTTATCGTCGGCTCACTATAGCTTACCATGGTTCCTACCGTACATTTTTTTATAGAAGAGGGGGCAAACGAGCATCCGGCTCACCTGATGTTAAGTGACTACCGCCGCCCATGATCAACCGCAACACCAGGGGAATTGCAGGTGCGTTGCCGGCCCTTTATAAAGGAGTAAGCTCTTTTCTTGAGTGTCCCCAGGTCGTATCGGTCCGGAAAAATCGCCGGTAGTAAACTATACTAAACCACAGAGAGGTTGTACGCGGAAGAAAACTCCTTTTGAAACGTACCTTGGTGGACCGCCAAGCATCTAAATGGTGAAGATGGTATCGGGACGTTTGCCGCGTAGTGCGTTCACGAAATTTGGCGGCTGGGATTAATCCGAACAATTCCTCAGAGCACTCCCCATGGTATATGCGAAAGAAAATGCGAAGAGATGCAAGATCTCTTCGAAGCGCCAGTGAATCGAGCCGATCGGAAAGCACTCGGTCGTCAACGATTCGAGCCGCTCTGCGCTGGATGCGGTCAAGTGGAAGGAGCTGGTACTGGGGAGCCCCAGCCCAAAGATGGGAACTGTATTCCATGTGCGGCCCAACCTGCGCCTTATAAAGTTGCAGGCGGTGTGCCGGCATGAAATACTGTCCCGCTCTGCTGAGCACGCCAAGCTTTTTAGAGGCCAATTTGGTCTTCTCTTCCAAGTGACCACGAAACTGCACGTCACTCGATATGTCGACGACAAGGATTCCGATACTGGCTGAGGCAACAAGGGGAGTGCCTAGAAACTGAGGAGATACGACAAAGGGGATCTTTTTAGCGGTTAACACGCAAACCTATGTCTTCTGGGGGTTAAACTGGACTATATTTAGTCGCCCCCAATCCGAGACTCTGTTCATCAAAGACTCGACTTCAGACACAAGTTTATCCCGCTACTCGGAGACGTTTTCCCGACAAATATTGGCACGGCCGGTGTAAAGAGCATCACCAGTGCTGTCATCTGCATAGCAATGAATGTTAGGAGTTTGCAACATATCATTGATATGGAGAAGAAACAGCGATGGCGATAGCACACAGCCTTGTGGAACACCAGCATTAATAGGCTTGTAATCGGAGCTTGCACCATCTACAACGACCTTGATGCTCCAATCTGCAAGAAAGCTGGTGATCCAATCGCACAATTTCTCGGGAAGACCCGATAGGAAGAGAGCTTCGAAAGAAGCGCTTTGTGCCAGACCCGATCTGCCTCCGCTCATCTGTGAGTTAGGTAGACCAGAAGATCACCAGCTGACCGACCACGGCGAAAACCGTATTGGCGATCACTAATCAGCTGGTGATCCTCAAGGTACCTCATGAGCTGGCAGTTAACAATAGACTCCATTGTTTTGGAGAACAAGGAGGTGATGGCGATAGAACGTTAGTTGGACGGGTCTAAGCGGTCGCCTTTTTTAGAGATCGGGTGGACGAAAGCCGTCTTCCATGATTTTCGAACTACGCCTAGGGAGTAGGAGTACCGGAAAAGACGCGTTAAAACCGGTGCCAACTCTGGAGCACACGTCCTCAGCACAATTGGGGGGATTCCGTCAGCCCCACTCGACTTGTGGATGTCCAGGAAGAGGAGTGCTTTGCGAACCGCGCGCTGTGTGAACTGCACTTCCAGCATGAATCACTCATACCGCGGGATGGTCGGCGGCGTACTCCCCCCGTCATCGAGAGTCGAGTTGGACGCAAAGAAAGAGCCTAGCAGATCGGCTTTCTCCTTTGCGGTATGGGCCAGTGAGCCGTCCTCCCTGTGCAGAGATGGAAGAGATGGCTGACAGAAATTCCCCTGGACAGCCTTGGCGAGAGACCAGAATGCACGTTTGTTTGGGGGGGGGACTTTTTTGGGGGGGGGGTTTTTTGTTTGGGGGGTGGGGTGTTTCGGGTTCCAGAAGGAAGGTGAACTAGTTTCTCGCCAATTCTGCCTATGTGCTCTGACTTTGCCTTGGCAATGACTCTTTTGAATGACCTAGAGGCGGAATTATACTTCTTTTTTAGAGCGCTGGTGTTTACATCACGGGACGTTCATGCATCAGCCCAGGCTTGGTAGCACTCTTGCTTATAGCATGATGCTATTTTACAGGAGCGAACAAACCATGGCTGAGATTTGCCACCAATGGGCATCACAGAGGAAGGAATAAAAAGTTCCATACCCTGAAGTACCACATCAGCGACAGAATCCGCAACAACGTTGGAATCGTCCGGCGAGAAGCAAACACGCCCCCAAGGATAGGATGCAAAGAAAGACCGCATTCCATCCCAATCGGCTGACCTATAGTGCCAAACACGGCGGCAGACTGCAGAATGCAACTGCGATTTCAGCGTGAGTGGCACCACACTCCGAACAAGCCAAGTCCGAGGAGCCTAAAAGGGCGTCGGAAATTGATATCGGGTGAGAGGTCAGCAGAAGGTCCAACAGGGAAGGTGCATGATCCTCCAGATCTGGAATCCGCGTAGGCGAAGAAACCAGTTGTGTCAGACCATATGCCAAGGCAAAATCATGAACAGATTCCCCCGCATGATCGGTTAAACGTGAACCAAGCCATTCGGCGTGGTGGGCGTTAAAGTCGCCGAGGATCTGCTGTAGCAACGAATCTGTAGCCATTTGGACGTGGTCGAAGAGTCGGTCTGTTTAGGCATTACCGCTATGGGACCTATAGAGGCACCCGTAGACGCGCGGATGGTCGTCGCTGTCTACGCGTAGCCAAAGGATAGACAGGTCCGAACCTTCAAGACTGCCGAGGTGACGAGAACAGATGTCCTCTCTGACGTAAACGCAAACTCCAGCCCGAGGCACAAAGGAGTGTTCCAGTAGGTATCTTTATGTAGATACGAGACATCAGCTGGAGAGGACACCTGCGTCCCGGTCAGAAAGAGCAGAGCCGGCTTCGCCGTCTTGAGATGGTAGTGGACGGCGTTTAGGTTAAAGTGAAGTCTAAACCCTGATTATTGCAGAAATTCACGCTGATAGCGTGGCAGGGGTCGCCTTGGTCTTGTTGCTCCGTTTGCCCCGAGCAGTTGTAGTCTTGAGCCGGTATTCTGTGAGGTCGTGGTACCACCCAAGTTTGAGCCGGCCCATACGTGCAACAGCAATGCTGCCGCGTGGCTCTACCACTGTTAAAGTATATAAATTACTACATAAATTACTTACATTATCTACTGATTTCCTGTTATGTAAGTCTACCAATAATCGGGTGCGTTTTTAAATTATTGGTTTACTTACGTCACAAATAATGAATGGCCATTTAAAACTGCGTCGTAGCCCTTAATTTAGCTATAACGTTACGACACCATATGTATTTATGCTGTTGCGCAGCGTCTTGAGCTCCAGTGCCATGGTCTTAATTTGGGTCAGCACTCGACTTTCACCTCTGCTACGGTTGGGGTCGACGACAAGCTGCGGGCAGAGCCGGCGTCCACGGCCAACAGCTCCCCGTTGTGTAGATTGTCCATCACGTTGTCGGCCATCTCGGCGAGATCCTCTAGTTTCGTGTCTGCTCTGTCGGTGCCAAGATCGCGTGAACCCACGCCGGCAGTCGCGCTAGCCACAAATTATTTAGCATATCGCCTTCGGCGCCGGAGTTCTTCGCGAGCTCATTCATCTTGGCCAGCAGCTGAGATGGTTGCTGCTGCCCTAATTCCATTCCCGACACAAGTTTGTTAAACTGGGCCTCAGCGCTGGCTTGAAAAACTCTGAGGAGCCTGGTTTTCAGTGCGGTGTAGCGTCCTTGGTCCGGTAGATTGCTTATGAGATCACTTACTTGGTTGAGCTCTTCCTTGCCCACTTTCCTCACCACCATATCGTACTTGACCTGTTCCCCCTGGTGTTGTGGTCCCATTACTGACTCGAAGCGTAGAAACCACATTTTAGGCATGTCGGTCCAAAATGGTGGGATACGCGACGCCAGACCGATGGTGGCTATTTCGCCCGGTGGAAATGATGATGTGGGCGGCGGCGGAATTGGCGCTGGTTGAGCCATCGTAGCGTGGTATTTTACACCTTACCCCTACACAAGTCCTAACACGGGGTCACCAATGTTGTGTATGTTTTAGTGTCTAGTGTATATTAGGGGCTTGTGTAGGGAGGAAAATGAAGTAATTGCTCACATACATTGTAGTTATTTTTTCTACATGCTTTCACAGAACTTAGAAAGGAACTGCCTACTGCACTCTAGCTAACCGACTTACAGACTGCCGTACCGCTGGCAGCGGTCGTTATCGTATTTCATGCAAATTACATACATATTGACACGGGCGATGTACGTGTGTGCTGTGTCAGCAGCACCCACAAGCCCTTTCAAATGAGGCCAAACACGATCGTTCTATCTGGTGCCGTCACTGAGATCCTATACACACCTTCAAATTGCACCATCAGAAAGGTGAGATCATAACTGCCACCTAATTCTTTATGAGCCCTTTCAAATGAGGTCAAACATGATCGTCCTCTTTAGTGCCATCACTGAGATTCTATACTCACCTTCGGAGTCCACCATCATCAGGTAGGTGAGATCATCACAGGCACCTTTTTATATAAATGAGTTTAAAAACGATGGTTCTACATAGTGGTATGACTGAGAGCCTTTACCCAGATATTGAGTCCGCCATCGCAATGTGAGATTATTACAGTTACCTGGGCCATTATGAGCCCTTTCAAATCCGTCCAAACACTGTAGTTCTATGTAGTGCCCTCACTGAGATCCTAAACTTACCTTCGGAATCCACCATAAGAAAGGTGAAATCATCAAATTCATCTAGGTCTTTATGAGTACCTTTCAAATGAGTACAAACACAGTGGTTCTATGTAGTGCCGTCACTGAGATCCAAAACTTAACTTCGGATTCCACCATAAGGAAGGTGAAATCATCACAGTCATCAAGGTCCTTATAAGTACCTTTCAAATGAGTCCAAACACAATGATTCTATAAAGTGAAGTCACTGAGATCTTTTAAACTCACCTGCGGGGTCCACAATCAGCTAGGTGATATCATCACAGTGCTGCAGGCCGGAAGCTCGATTTCCTTAAGGCATTTTGGATCATGTTTTTTTATTTATTTTTTGTAGGTGGGGGTGGTGTTGAGCTGACAGAAGTCATATTTATTTGTATGATGGTTAATAATTCTTTTCTTTGTAAGGGTTTCTTACCCAAAACTAAAAATCACATCTATTTTAGGAACAAATAACAGAAATATTGCCTAATGTCTACATATATACAAGTACTACTTTCTACTAATACTTAGATATTTTAAAACATATGCAATATGCTATGCAGATACTTCTGATAAAAATACCTTAGTAACTTCGTTATAAAATCAAAAATGTTACCTAGCGGTAGGTAGCTACGGTACCTAGCGAGGTACAATAGAAAAATACAAAATAGCTGTTGCAGCAGCCATATTTTCCGAGAATGCAAATTCCGAGACTGCAAATTCGTTAATTACATCGCTAAAATTTATACCATCAATAATTTCTTGTTCAACTGCTAATATCGTTAGTCCAGACAATCTTTCTTGAAGCATTGTCGATCTTAAATAATTTTTAATGATTTTAAACTTTGAAAAAGATCGCTCGCCAGAAGCTACAGATACAGGTAATGTCAAAAGAATTCTCAGTGAAATGCTTACGTTTGGAAAGGTGGAGATTAAATTGTTTTCAAATATACAGGATGTCCGGTTTCCGATGTCCGATACTTTAAGGGGTTAAAATACAATTAATTTTATCGACAAATCAGGGATCAATGATTTTTTTTTCGCCATCAATAAAAAAATGGCAGCACTTTAAAAAAATTGTTGGCGAAGCATAGATGCTTGTATTAATTTAACAATATCTACCCAAGTAGAAGACTTTCAAAAACAAAATTGGTCTCAAATGTTAGTTAATAGTGTAGACAATAAATCTAGATTCAAAATATTATTTTTTAATTTTTCAGTATTAATAAAAAACATTTTTGAAAAAATAAATTAGACAACAAATTGATGTTGTTTTTCAGATTCTTAGCTTTAAAAAAAAACCATCGTGTTAACCAATTTTTTTTACTTGTTTTTATTATAATACAGGATATTTGCTATAAATGCACATTTAAATCTTAACTCTGAGTTAGATAGTTTAGGAGCTATGACAGTGTAAACATACTTACTTGAAAAGCGCGGATACACTAGCAAATGAAATAAAACAAAATAATTTATATCAATTGCTTTTAATTTGGCAAAATAATTACAAAAACTGCTCAAAGTGACCTCCTTGTCTCTGCAGACATGCTGTTGCTCTTAGTGCAACGTGTTGCGTAGAGCGCTGGATCATTGCCTTGTCTTCTCGCAATTCGTTTGCTGCTTGAATTACTTTTTTCTGCTAACTCCTCTCGTGTATTTGGCACATTTACATACACTCTTCGTTTGAGGTGAGAGGTGTTAAATCCGGCGACCGCGGTGGCCAAGCAATTGTTCCTCCGCGTCCGATCCACGACGAATAGTGTGCATTTAAATGATTCCGCACAAGAAGCGCGAAGTGTGCCGGAGCACCATCCAATTGCAGAATCATTCTGGCCCTGTAGGTCAATAGTAACTCCAATAAAGCATCCAAAAAATTCGTTTACAGGAAATTTAGGAATCTTGGGCTATTCATTGTCTCCGGTAAAATGATTGGCCCAATTAGAATGTCGTCAATCATTCCGGCCCAAACGTTGACAGAAAATTTATGTTGAAAAGAACTTGGGCGGATCGCATGTGGATTTTCTTGAAGCCACAGGTGTTCGTTACGGTAGTTCGTATACCCTGATCGCGTGAAAGTAGCTTCGTCTGTCCACATAATTCTTTTTAAAAAGTTTGGATCATATCGCGTTTCTCTCAATATCCACGAACAAAATATTGCTCTTCTTACATAATCCGGTTCCAGTATTTCTTGCACCCTTCGAAAATGGTAAGGATGTAATCCTTCTCTTTTTAAAATTTTGCATACCGACCATTTTGATAGACTGAGACGATTAACTATGCGATCTATTGCTCAGCCTAGGGTCTTGAGTAATCATTTGCAATATTTGATGTTCATCTTGGAGCGACAAAACACGAGTACGTTCGTTACCGAGCCTTCTTATTCCATTTTCCGCAAGTCTGTCTGTTGTCTGTCTGTCTGTATGTCTGTTAGGAAATCTGCGTGCATACTCTACAACAGCTCTATTTGCACTCCCGTTACACAATCCATACACGAAATGGATGTCAGCGATATGCTGGCTTGAGTACTCGTTCATTGTAATAAACAAAAAGTAACAGTTCAACAACAAAACAAAAACGTAACAAAGTCTAACAACAAACAATAATTATGTACAGTAAGTAGATTTACTTAAAACCAGGAATGTTATCACAACGCAGAGCGAGGGACGACTGCTCGACGGCACAAGCGCACACTGCACATTTTTTACCTGGAGACAGCCGTTATTCTGTCTCGCTCGCACTGTTGTGCACAGCGTTTTTTACCTGCTCACACAAAGAATGCTATTGTGATTGCTTACGATTCCTTGAATTATTGAAGAATTTTATCTTACTCACTGGAATGGGTGTTTAGTTATCTAATATCGGGGTAGAGGCACTTTGAACAGTTACATTCAAATTATCATAGCTCCTAAACTATCTAACTCAGAGTTAAGATTTAAATGTGCATTTATAGCAAATATCCTGTATTATAATAAAAACAAGTAAAAAAATTGGTTAACACGATGGTTTTTTTTAAAGCTAAGAATCTGAAAAACAACATCAATTTGTTGTCTAATTTATTTTTTCAATAATGTTTTTTACTAATACTGAAAAATTAAAAAATAATATTTTGAATCTAGATTTATTGTCTACACTGTTAACTAACATTTGAGACCAATTTTGTTTTTGAAAGTCTTCTACTTGGGTAGATATTGTTAAATTAATACAAGCATCTATGCTTCGCCAACAATTTTTTTAAAGTGCTGCCATTTTTTTATTGATGGCGAAAAAAAATCATTGATCCCTGATTTGTCGATAAAATTGATTGTATTTTAACCCCTTAAAGTATCGGACATCGGAAACCGAACACATTGTATATTGTAAAATAATTAAGGGTTCAGTATCATCAGGTAATGAAAACAACTTTAACGCTTTAATTTCATTAAACAAATCATTGGAGTCTATATCCTTATTATCCTGATCTGTCTGAATGTTTTAAAATATCGCTGTCACTTAATTTGAACATGTCGCTAAAAAATCCGAAAATATTATCTTACTCATTTAATAAGTCAAATCGGTTTTTTAGAGAGTTTATGTTTGATCTATAATTTTTAAGAAAAAACTACATTTAAAGGCAGTTTTTGGATTATGAGGGGTCTCATCTCGATGTTCATAGTCAAACAGTTTTGGTTTAAATTTCCTCCTGACCGTTGGTAACGGTGGAAAGTCTTCTTCAATTCCGAGAGACAGAGAGTGCTACTTCTTTTGCTTGTACAAGAATTTCTTCAAACGATTGGTCGGATCTATATTGCTGGAAGTGATCAACTAAATTTTTAGGTAGGTTTGGCATACTTTAATATTAATTGTAACACTTTGCATTTGTTTGCCGACAATAATTGTGTGAAATAAAACGTGATGCCAAATAATAATTCCACAAATAAATTGAAATTTTTGTACAGACTTTAAGAGAGAACTCGCTTTATGTCTTGCATCAATGTGAAAGGAATTATCTTCGGCTACTTCTAGAGGACTTTCGCAAACCTTAATTAAATATAAGTTTAAGGGGCTTTATTGAATAAATTCTTCTGGACAATCTAGTCACACTTAGAGGCTTTAAACTTAACACAGGGACATTTTTTCTCAGAATATCCCACCTTTTTTGTGGATAACGAAAAAAAATTATATAACTCTTGCACAAGATTAAAAAAGTTTATTGTAGCATCTAACATTTTAGAAGCGTCATTTACTGTTGAGTTGAAAGCATTAGCCACACAAGGTACAAAAAGGGCTCTCTGTTT